CCCCATTTATATGTGGCTATAACTACCTGCATAATTTTGTAATATATATATATATATATATATATATAGACTGTGAGTGGATATATTTACTTACACAAATGATGAAAACATAAAATGCAGATAGCAATGACAATAAAATGAAGAAATCTGAAAAAGACTAGTAGGTTATATCAATTATACTATGGATTTGAAAAAAGTCACAATTGTGGAAACTAAGAAAAGCATATAAGGAAATAAATTACTTTATATTTCACAAATGCATGCATGTCTAATCATTTCAGCAATTTTATATAAATTTAAAATAAACATTACTATGCCTGTCCCAAAATGGTGCCCAACCTCCTTTTTGCCACAGAAATGAATTAAATCATCATATTCCCAATTTCCTAATCTAAAAACTAGAAAGATTCTGTTGATCATTCTCATTTTTGCTAGCATATTTCTACATTGATTTCATTGGAATATTAGTTTATTGTGTTAATAAAATATTTCCTACTGGATAGCTAAAACATAAGAAACTGATTTTCACACAGTTTCAGAACCCTGGAAAGCCCAAGAATGATTATCTGGACTGACTTGGCTTCTACTGAGAGATCTAGTTTTGGCTTGCAGATGGCAATGAGCCAGCGAGATCAGTTTCTCTACTATTTCTTCATATGAGGACACTAATCCAGACTGAGAGCCCAATCTTTAGTCCTTATCTTGGGCTAATTACCTTCCTAAGGCACCCTCTTAGGACAACAACATATGAGTTTTGGGGGTAGACATTCAGTTCATATGTTTATTTCTGGATCCCTCAAATGAATATCCTTCTCCCATGCAAAATGGATTTTTTTCCATTCCAAAGTCCCTTAAAATCTTAACTCATGTTCAATGCCAACCAAAAGTACAAACTTTCATCTAAGTCAGATGTGGGAGAGATTCAGAATAAACCTCCTCTCTGGCTGTGAACCTCTGAAGCAAAGCAAATTACGTACTTTTAATTTATGTTGGTAGAACAGACATAGGAATAGGACAGACATTCTCACTGCGATAGGGGGAAAGAAAAACAGACACAAAAATGGGTTCAAAGTACATCGAAAACCTAACCTAAAAGATAAAGTCCATTATCTTACAGCTTAAGCTGAATCCCCCCTAGACTCATTAGAGCAGTGGCATTACCTCTAGGCTCTCTGAGGTTCTGGCACTAATGACCACTGAAGCACTGTGAAGGGCATTTTTCCCTTTTCTTGAAAAACAGCCTATGTTCACAGCTCAATAGTTCATCACCCCATTATATGAAATCACTAAGTTTAAACAGTCTATCTTCACTTTGTTCCATTTCTGATCCCTTCAATTCAAACTTGCAGTGGATCTACTCATATACGCTTAAACTATGAGCTACACTCTCCATTCTCATCAAAAAGGACTTTCTCTTTTTTTGGCCATATGAATAAGTCAATAATTTTCTAAATTCTTTATATTCTGGTTTCTTTTTTATCTTCTATTCACCTATCCCTCCATTCTATTGTAAGAAACAGGCAGAATTAAATATAGATAGCTTGTCCTACACTTCACTGAGAAACCTTTCCAATTAAATCATTTTATTGCTTTCAAGTTCTACCTTTCACAAAACAATGGAATAGTGATGTGTCCTAAACCTTTGCACTAGGGGGGGGGGCCCACACCCTTTTTTAAAAAAATTTTGTTTAATTTAATTTATTTATTTGTATATATTTTACATCTGGTGTGGTCCCCATAGGGTTTCTACTACCAATTCACCTGTGCACCATCACCTTAGTTCCTAGTGCTCTTTCCATTCTTGTATTTTGTACCCTTTCCCTCCCCATCCCTTGCAGAACTTCTCCAACTTATATCTGATTATTTTTGTTTAGTTTCATTGTATTTTTTAAATTGTTATTATCTTCCCCTGATCTCTTATGTGTTTTCCCTAAAATTATCCTATAAGTGAAATTATCTGATATTTTTCTCTTTCTTTCTGACTTACTTGCATAATTCCTTGTAACTCCATCCATATTGCCTCAAATGGCATTAATTAAATTATCTTTTTTTTTTTTTTTTTGCTGAATAGTATTCCATTGTTTATAGATGCTACATCTTCTTGATCTAACCATCTACTTTGGGGCTTCTGAGTTGTTCCCAAATACTAGCTATTATAAATAGTGCTGCAATAAACACAGGACTGCATGCAACCTTTTGAATTAGTGGTTTGTGAACTTTGGGTAGAGCACTAGGAGTGGAATTGCTGGGTCAAATGGCAGCTCCATTTTTAGTCATCTGAGGAACCGCCGCATCTTTCCATAATGGCTGGGCTAGTTTCCATCCCCATTAGCAGTGTAAGAGAGTTTCTTTTTTGCCACAACATTACCAATGTTTTTAAGGGATCAATCACAAAGTTATACAAAGAACTCACATGACACAAGAAAACCCAAGTATACAGTCCAATCAAAAAATGAGCAGTAGATCTCAAAAGTCACTTCTCCAAGGATGAAATGCAAATGGCTAACAGACATATGAAAAATTGTTCAACATCCCTCATGATCAGAGAAATGCAAATCAAAACCACAATGAGATACAACCTTGTACCAGTAACAAATCTTTACAAATAAAGAATTGAAACTTAAAAATATTTCCGAACTCTCTTCTCTCAAAAGGTCCATAGAAAGATAAAGACAAATACTTCTGCATATGCCTACATAATCCAAAACTTGCATATATTTCTTTGAGTTATCCTTCTGTACACAGAAGGATCATGATTATTGAGAAGTTTAACACAAAATCCAACTCATTTCATAAACAGGAAGGGGTAAAATTACATTGAGTACATGCCTATTATGTAATTGATAAAAGGTGATATAGCAAATGTATATAATTTTAGTAAATATTATTTGATGAGCTATTAGTAAATTATTTTTATAAATGAAATAAACTGTTCAGGATTCAAGAGCTAATAAGTGACAAAGTCGCATTTCAAATCTAGGAGGGTCCAATTTTAAAGCCATGATGCTCTCATTTTCTTGCAATTAAAACACCTAGAAAACACACTGCTTTTCCATTTATTACCAGAAATGTCATTTTCTGAATTATCAGGGGGAAAGAGTAGTAATGAATAACAGCAGGCTTGAGGTTGAGGCTACACATCTATGGGAAACTGAGATTATTTGCATTGTGCAGTGTTTGATTTAGTTCCCTGCCAAATGTCATGGCAAAGCCTTGACACACAGAGATTTGTGCCTGGAGCCATCCATTCTCTGTCTGGCAGTGCATATCAGCTGACATATTTTCCTCAGATATTCTAAAGTCACACCAGTTTCTGAATAGGGATTGAAAATGACTAAGAGGAATATTGTATGAAAAATAGTAATATAAAAAAATCTAGAAGTATGTTTCAATTGTAAAATCTCAGGTAAGAATTCATATATACATAGGATTATGTTTATAGAATATTTTCTTGCAACAGTAATGTGGCAGAACATACACAGTATATTGTTTAGTTAAACTAAAATGTAATGATGTGGGTATATATATATTTTTTCTTAAACATTATGTTTACTTAAGATAGACCAGGCATTAATTATTACTCATGATTATTAAAAACCCTACATTTTTTCTTTTAACCACAAACCAACTCTCAACACTTTTTCAATACAAAGTTAATTTATTACCCAGAAAAATAGTTTCAGCCTCATAAATTTCTGCTTGGGATTGGAAGGACCATTTACATGGTAACTTATCTCAAGAAACTTTAGAATCTGACATGAGTGAATCTATTATATATTTAAATACATCTAGAAAAAAAACAGTACCAAAACTTCCTTCAATATGTTATCCTGTAGCTCACTTAAATCCCTTAAAAACTAGTTTAAGCAATTTTCCTCTTGCTACTTTCTCCAAAGAAAACTGCTAAGATTTATTTCATCAGTCTTCATCTTTCCCCTGTATGATCCCTAAGAATCTTAGGTCCCTTTGGTCTTTACTTCTGAATTCACACTATATATTTTATGTAATTCTTAAGTTTTTTTTTCTTCCTCTTGGGATTCATGATCATTACAAATCATATTTGTAGGGACCTTTTTCATACACTTTTTACAGTTTGCCTTCTAATTTGAAATAAAAGGAATCCCATCTTGCTTTGTATTCTCTTCTGTATCTTTCACACCCTGTATTTATATATTTCTTGTTGAGTCTTGTTTGTATGTATTTACCTGTTTGCTTCTTCCTTCCCAGTAGCATTGATCTCTAACTCCAAACTAGTTTTACTTCTTAAAGCCCCCCCTACTCATAGACATTTTTTAGGTAGTTTTCAATTAGTAGTTTAACTCACATTATCTTATTGCTATCTTATTTAGCAAGTTTCAGTTGGTGGTTTAACCCACGTTATCTGATCTTATAGTCCAGGGTCATTAAGGACTATGTTAAATAACTTCCATCAACTTTAGAATAGCTCCCACGTTTTATATGCCAGGGCATTAATGATAACTGTTCTTGGAATTTGGTTGTCTGGATTAAGGTTTCTTGTGCCCCCATGATGATACATATTAAATAATCAGATTTCCAATTCTGATGTATTTGCATTAGTATCATACTTTGACAGATGAAAAAGTACATAACATCACACAGAATATGGAACATAATTCCAAATATCAAAGTGTGAGATAAAATTATTTTGTATACCTTACTCAAGTAAAAATTTTGTAATATAGGCCCTCCCTGGTGGCGCAGTGGGTTAAAGCACAGCACTGAGAACCTAAAGCCGCTTCCGCATGAGTTCGATTCCCGCCTGCCCCGGAGGTGACCACATGGTGTGGCAGACCTTTCCTGACCCACCCGCTGCTCCCCTCAGCAGTGTACTTCGTCGATCTGCCTGTTCTGTTCCCCTCTCTGTCTCTGGTGAAGCCTCTCACCGCCCCTGAGCCTCTGGCCTGTACCCCAGTTCTGTATGCACAAATAAATAAATCTTTAAAAAAAAAAAATTTGTAATATAAATTAAAGGTGCAAACCTTTGTCCAAGGCACATTCTGTGGTGGTCTCAGGACAGGAACCTAATGTAAAAAAAAAAATAGGTATTTATTAATAAATTTAATAACAAGATTGTGAAAATTAAGAATATGCTTACACCATGTTCAGTAAATGCATAATACATTAACTTCAAAAACATGTTCTTTTTTATCTTTTTGCTAAATTTCATTAAGAAAATAAAGCATAGGATACAAATATTCAGAAACACTTCTCAATGTGAACCTCAAAGAAGCTTGAAGGGTTCAAACTTTTTTACCAGACATAAACATAGAAGCAGATTCAGTACCTGGTAAACAAAAGTAAATTTTATGTCAAAGTTAGACATCACATTTCAAAAACATTACATGAATTATTAGGTTCAAAACAAGATGAATAAGCATGTTAAATAGATTTTATGATTATAAAAGATAATATTTTTCATCAATGGAAAGCCAATTAAAGTTAACACAGAATCATTTTCACAGTAATGATGTTTCAAACTTTTACACAGTGAAACTAAACTGTATGTGTAGATAAGAGATATAAATATGTTCAAATGAACTTGAGTACTTTAAAAATCAAAAGAAATAGAATCACGTATTGCTGCACTGAAGTCCAATGTTCCTTCATTCCTTTTTATTTTATTATCCTATTAAAAGTAGTGTTGCATTGCCAGATATGTTCAGAAACCCACCTACATAAAAGCAAAGATCTAAATCTAAGAACTCTCATTGCAAATGTGATAATACTAATTATAGGAACTTCAATTAAATGTAGTATAAAAGAACCACTCACTTTGTTCTTGTTTCTTGGCATCCTATCTGCTTGACATTTCCAGATGTGGGGATATATTAGAAGAAATAAACTTTTTATATGATCTCTACCAGTATACAGGAATAAAAATTTTACCAAGAATAATAAATAGCTCTCACAAAGTTGAAATAAAATTAATTTTTCGTCTTTATTTAATGTTTACAAACTCAAGGAATTTCAGCTCAGGAAGAGAGTACTGGAGGGATGATCAAGTAAACTGGATTCAATCTCTGAGCTGAGACATCTCCTGCTGTATGGAAGTTTCTCAGGATCCTCCTGGGAACCAAGTCACTGGGACACCTGGAATATTCCCCCAGCCCTTATTCAAGCAGAAGAGACACACAAAGACTATAGCATTAACGTGCACATACACTATTAGTTAAGAAGTTGACATAAAGAAATGTTTGGCCAAACTGGGATGCTAAAACACAATTTTAAACCAATTTCTTTATATTATGCCTCAAACTACATTTCATACTTTTTACATTTGAATCTTGGTCCTTAGATAATTTAGCAGTGTAGACTTAGACAAGTCATATGATCTCTGAGCCTCAGTTTTTCACTTATAATTGTTGTAAGATTAAATGAATGCAAATAAATTTCTTAGCATCCTCCCTGCAACATAGTAAAAAGCCAACAAATACTAGCTATGAAAAGCTACCAAACTTAGAAATGTAAAGCTGTTCCTAAATTATTATTAAACAGGCCCTCCCTGGTGGCATAGCGGGTTAAAGCACAGCACAACGAAGCTTAGGCCACTTCCGCATGAGTTCGATCACCGCCTGCCGCAGAGGTGACCACATGGTGTGGCAGACCTTTCCTGACCCGCCCGCTGCTCCCCTCAACAGTGTACTTCATCGATCTGCCTGTTCTGTTCCCAGCTCTGTCTCTGGTGAATCCTCTCACCCTCCACATCTCTGGCCTATACCCCAGTTTTGTATGAATAATAAATCTTTAAAAAAATTATTAAACAATTTAGTTATAAATTTAGTAGTTCTACTATTCACTTATATTTTCCCCTAAACATTTTCATTCACACAACTTTAATTTCATGAAAATTAACTGAAATGTACGTACATAACAAGCTTTATTCTTGAAAGAATCAGAAGATAAAGTAAAGATGGTAGGCATTTTTTTTTTTTTTGGACTGAGGAACTTGAAATAATATTTCTTAACCATAATTTTATTTTATGTTCTGTGTTTTACTTGTGGTCTGGCATGGCTAGAGGAACAGAAAAACTCCAATAATGACAGGGAATCACTTAACATTTCCCATAGGTCAAGCAAAAATCCAATTTTCTAAAACTCATAAAGTAGAAGAGTTGGGTGAAGATGTAGTACAAAGCTCTGGATTGGCAGCCTCACTGCCAGGCTATAAAAGACATTTTTTTCACAGAAAACATGGTATCCACACAGAATTGGACTTGTGGGTAAAAAAGACCATCTTTAGCTTCTAAAATCTCTATTTCTCTAGTAATTAGAAACTGTCAGGACTTAAAAATAGGGTTAACAATTTTGTATTCATATTTTAAAGTATAGAATAACTTTATATCATTTATAATCTACATTGGATACATCTATTTCCTCAGTGAAATGAAACTAACCATGTTACTTGTCAAGTTTGTAAGCATAAGCCTTGAAGCTTTCCATAGCAGTTTTTCTCTAGGTTACATCATTTTTCACTCTCAAAGCTGTTGAAAGGTAAAACTGTTCCTAAGATTATTATTAAATTACTATTAAGATTATTCATATATTATAAGTCTAGTAGCAGTTATTTCACATCACCTTGTTTAAATGTTAAGTCCTTAAAATGACTTACTTTTGCAACCCTACTTGAAATTTTAATACTACTTTTACTTTCACTACTGGTGAATGACCCATTTTCAGAAGCAAGTTTAATAAATATGTTATATAGCAATGAAAGATACTATGCATATTATGCTCAGTGAACTCAAGAGATCAAGCACAACTATTACTAAATCTAATTTCTTTGTATCTTCTTGTTATAATGCCAGATGTGTTTGTTAACCTAATGATTCAAATTGACTTTGGAATATCATGGGGTGTAACATATTTTTCTTAATGCTTAATGATGACATATAAGCATTAATATGTATGGATCATAAATAATGCACATGTTATCGTGGCATTAGAAATTCAAATATATATTCTATGGACTGAATTATTCTTTTGAAAACTCTTATGTTGATGCCTTTTGCAGCAACATGGGGGTAGCTGGAAGGGATCATGCTTAGTCAAAGAAGCCAGAAAGAAAAGGGAAAATACCAGATGGTTTTACTCCTAGCAGGAGTATAAAGGACCAGGGGAGAAAATAATAATAATAATGTGCAACTATATACAAGAGACATTTTAAAGGGCTGGAGCGGGGAATGGGATAAAAAATGGGGGGCACTGGACTATGGTGATGGCACACGGGTGATTTGGTGATGGGAAGCCCATGGGGATTACAACTGAGATGGAAAAAGGCACAAAATGATGTAAAAAAAAAACTATTATATTATTTTAAAACATAAGAAAAAAGAAAACTCTTATGATAAAATCTTAGCAGTTCAGAACCTCAGACTGTGTATTTGGGGATGTCTTTAAAAACAGTTTAAAATGAAGTTTCTAATATGGGCTCTAATCCACTGCATTTGTTGTTGATATAAGAGGAGATTGGGACATAAAGAAACAAAGAGGAAATACCTTGTAAAATTTGAAAGAGAAAAAGCCATCAAAGAAATAAATCCTGTAGACACTTTGATCTTAGACATCTTAGTCTCCAGTATCATGGAGAAGTTTTTTATTGTTGTTGTTCTGTTGTTTATGCAAATGTAGAATGAATGTCCACTTATCTGGATACATTAAGGACATATTTTATGTATGTAGAAGACAAAAAGTAGCTAGCTCCTCCACAGTAAATACCAGTTCCACAGTAAGGGAAATATATGACTATGGTGAAAATAATTAGAAACTATGGAAAATATGTATAGAAAAAATCCTACTCAGATATAACCATTAAGAGCATTTTAACATACTTTCTTCCATGAATCTCTTTGCACATACTCTGTGGTAAAACAGGTTCACACTATTCCCTTCCAGTAAAATGATATGTGTATCTGATAACAAGGTGATAAAGCAAAATATGGAGTAGTCTTCAGTCTTTATAACATATATTGCAAGATATTTTTTGATACCTCTTAGTGAATAAAGGGAGACTCTCGATCCTCCAAATGACAAAAGAAAGTTGTAATTCAATTTCAGCATTGTCAATTATTTTCAATATAAAAGAGAGAGGTAGGTTATTTTTCAAGAGTGAAGAAGTTGCAGATTGTACTCATGATTTTAACTGTGGAAACCTTTCTTTCTGCCCTTCTTGAAATATGGAGGAATATAGAAAAACAGAATAAAACCTGTAACCTGTGCTTGTCTCTTAGAATTCTGAATATCTTACTATCTCATAGAAAAGACTAGTTTTTAAGATGTATAAGGAGAAATTTTGGCAGAATAAAGGGGATTTCTAGTTTGGTGGTTCATATTTCATTTTACATAATGGAATCCTACATGTATGACTTTAGACAAATGACCTCCTTTCAGAATTCTATCACCGTTTGAACAATGTTGCAATGACAAAGGTACACATCTTTTTTTTTCCAGAATAGACATGATTATGACTTGGGGTCAGGATTAGAGGATTCAGTCACAATGGTGTTTTCATGCAAATCCTCATTGGGAATGATGATTGTTGAATAAACTCAGTGATTATTAAGAAGTTTAACAGTGATGTAAAGCCCACTGACACAAGTATTTTGTAGCAGTTTCTATATATTAGCCCTTCATTCTATTTATCTGACACTAAAATAAAATCTGTAGTTTGAAGGCATGAGGCTTTAGCAAGAGGCTACCAGCTATGGTTCAGCTGTGCTTTAAAAATTCTGACTAAAATCTTGAGGATGCTAATTTTAAAGGGGGGTAACAATTTCTATGTAAACATTAAGCACAACAGTGCTTTTGTTTGGGTTTTATAAATGATTTACAACTCTGGAAAACCTAAAGAAGGGTTAATCATGATATTCTCTCCATATACTAGTCATGATAGCACTTTATATATGCACAGTCTTCAAAAAGTCAGAACCTAAGCAACAACAAGCAAAACAATTTGAAATTAATATAAAGCAAATGCAATACTGCTGCTTTTACTCAAGGTTAAATGTCATTTTTTTAAGTGTAG